ATATAACCTTATTAATTTACAACTTTATTGCTAATTTTCAACCTTACTAATTTATATCTATATTACTAATTTATAAAACCTTATTACTTTACAGCTTTATTACTAATTTATATCTTTATAATTAATTTACAGCTTTTTAAATAATTTATTTAACGTTATTAATTAACAACTTTATTACTTACTTATAACTTTGTTATTGCAACCTTGTTACTGATTTATCTCTTTATTACTAATAATGCTATCAATTAATGTTATAATTGTGTAATATGTTGAATCCAAATATATATCTACACTTGCATAAAGAATTGCAACTATAAATGGCGTTCTCAAATCTTGAATCAATGAATATATCGTTTTACAAGTTAATTGATCAGTACTATGATGAAAAATCTCATGCTATTTCTCATCGTATTCGTTTGTAGCCTTCCCCGTATAGTTACTCCTTGTTTTGTTACTCAATCATATAATATATATGTATTGAATCAACTGCCGCCTGAATCAGTACTAAAGTTACATTGTGCGTCTGGGGACGATGATCTTGGAAATCACACACTTACTTTAAACCAGCGGTTTCATTGGAAATTTTGTGAAAGGTATATCGGTTATACATTGTTTTTCTGCCATCTTTGGTGGGGTTCGAAGAATCGAGCGTTTGATGTTTTTCATTCAAAATGGTCAGACGACTGTACTGGTGCTTCTTGCTTTTGGCTAGCGAGGAGTGATGGCATCTATTTTCATGGTTTGAAAGGAAAGGCGCTAAAAAAATATGACTGGGAATAAAAGTTATTAATGGATGGTTTATTTTTTTATGCAATGTATTTGAATAAAAACCTATATTTATTTTATCCTTTCAGTTTTTTTAATTAAACAATAAAATGAAAATTATACAAATTTAGGAAATGATCCCTATTTTCTTAATAAGCGATAAGATATAGTGATAAAAGGGTATTGTTCTCCTTAATAAACCATATATGCGTGGGACCCGCGTGTATTTAAAAATTTCGACAATGTGATCCTGATTCCCATAGTACCACGGACAAAAGCAGAAGCTAATACATTTTCAATTCAATATAAAAATGCACCACGTTCACGTCTCAGAACAAAGAAGGAATGGTATGGCCCAATAATCTAAGGTAAACATGAATTAAGATGGCATATAAATTAAATACGAATTAAAGATCAACAATTCAGCAATTGAAGAGGAAAGGCGGAAATCATCGTCACCATGACCTCGGCAACTTAAGAATTAAGAGTAATGTTATCGATGAGGTGAAAATGGAAGTTCAAAAGCAAAGAAAGAAGGCATTGATGTCGATGGTTATGCCGACGTTCAGTGTTAGTGGATGATTTTCAGGGAGGGTGGG